ATTAATTTATTTCTTATTTCCAATGGTAGACGGTGATTATCGTGTGCATGTAAATTAGTCTAATTTATATATGCATATATACATATAAAATTATATGATTGCTTTGGTAATAATTTTCCTCACAGGTATACAAAGTAATGAGCGCTTGAATTCACACCCTGTGGTTACAGGGTAATATGAAATTTTGATTTCAATATTAGTTATATTAAGAAGAATTATTTCTTAGCACAACTTCAGCAATGGGAATAAAGATATTATACTCTGATGTCGCTGTCACATATACGTGAGTTTCTCGAAAGTTTGGAATTTCCTGTGAAATATAAATTCAGCATGCATAAATTCAATACTAGTATTTAACTAGTATGTAGCTGATGCATAAATGGCCAACTAATATTTAAAAAAGCATATATACCGAGCTATTGATTTTCGGGCATCAAAAATAAGCGTAAATAAATGCACTTAAAATAACAACTTCCAATAAATTCTTTTTATTATAAAGTTTAATTCTTCGCATTTTACTCGTATGTGAAGCACTGCCTCGCAAATTGTACCAAAAATCGATCGGTTTGAGGTAATTTTCAATCACTTTTCGACACATATTTGGGCGGCATCTCGGCCGTAATTTAAAGAATGTTGATTTTCAAGTGCTCAAGAGTTAAAGGTCTATCCACATGAATACGGTCTTTCGCATAGCCACGCAAACAAAAGTCCAACGATGTTAAATCGCATTACCTCGATGGCCATTTGACAACGCCAAGACGAGAGGTTACGCGGCCGGCGAAATTTCTCTCGCAATGAAGCCATATCAGACGACTAAAATGCTCCGAAGAGACAGTGACAGTCTCGACGTTGATACTTTCAAAGAAGTAAGGTCCACTTACACCTCCCGACTGAAGAGCGCACAAGACAGTAAGCTTTTCTTTCTTTGGGTGCAAATGTATTGTATTATTTGTATTTGATTATTCTCGGAGCCCCAAATGTGACAATTTAACATATCAACCGATTGAGAAATGTGCTTCGTTGCTAAGGATGATTTTGTTTAATAAATCGCCATTCACTGTTTGTTGATCCAGTACCCAATCGACATATGCACGGCATGCTGAATGGTCGGCGGGGTTCATTTGTTCTATGAGTATGAGTAATATGAATTTAGGTATAAGTCCATATGCAAAATACATCATAATGACCTAAGATGGTCCCAGCTCTTGAGAAAGTCGAGAAAAAAAACACATTCGAGTCTTCGACTACACTCTCACTTACAGTAGCGATATTTGAGGTCTCATTAAACTTCTTCAATATTATACCAATTGCTTGAGTGGTTGGACGTTAAATGCACCATAGTCTCCTTCCAAAGCACGATAGGTGGTCACACCTGAATCACCATTTTTGTAGTATGTTTTAACGAGTCTAAGCAGTTTTTTGGTTGGTAAGCGATCCATTTACATAAATGCCTGACTTTTAATTAAAACAACACATGTTTGGTTTGACTTTGAATTAAAACAAAACACGTTTGGTCTGACGGTTAAGTTGGATAGATGTCAAAATATAGTCCTGTGATATTTTCCGAATAATTTGGGCATAGCACATATTCGTGTAAAAAAGGTAGTATTTTTTGGTCTCATTTGACACTTCTACTTATCTATCGTGTCATGTATTACTACCACCAACCTATTACATACATATAGACATATATGCTTGTGCGTATGTCTGCTAGCATAGAGTTAGCATGCTGCTAATATGAAAACCACGCGGCTTAGTTAGCAATCAATATTCTACATTCACGTTTACTCCACTTTTTCGCTACAAAAAATTTTTTTTTTACAAATTGTGCTATATTTAATTTTTAACTTATGAATTTGTTAGAAAAAATAAAAGAAAAACGGAAAATAATAATTATTTTTCCTAATGCTTGTTATCTCTGCAACTTCATGCCGCACAAAACGCGATTTCCACTCTATAAAAATGGCAGCTTTTTTAGGGCGAACATGCGAGTTTGTTGTTTGTTGTTTGTTACACTTCTGGTACTCAAACTAATTATTGTTTTGGTTAATTTTTTTTTTATACCCTCACCATTAGTACGGACCGCTGAAATCACTAACAGTTTACTGGTTCCATTGTTAAACAAAGCAGAACCGCTTTTTTTGCCATTGCGCATGGTGGCGTGAATGTGTGTGTGTGTGTATGTATTTGCTGGTGCTGATGTGAATGCATTCAGTTAGCAATAAATAACCAAATAAATTATAACAAATAGCAGAGCAAAGGCAATTGCACGAATCATATGTGCATATGTATGTATGTATATATGTATGTATGTATGTATATTTGTACCGCTTACTGATATTCACAATACCGCTAACGAATTGTGTTAAATTTTTATTGTATTCGGGTGCTTAAATGAATACAGAGTAAAAAGCTTTTAATACACACACATATATATAAATATGCATGTATGTATTTATGTATGTACATATTTACCAAACTGTTCACATATCCACTAGCGTACAACCCACTAGCGTGTTAAATGCTAAAACTTGTTATATTCACCGTTGAAAAAGGTTTATCTCAGACGGAAGTTATAACTTTAACGTTTTCTTGCATTGAAAAAACTTCGTTACACACTTTGAGCTCCCACGCAAGGGTAGGTGTGGACATATAGGAAACAGATTTTAAGCATGTTTACTTGGCTATATATGAGTACATACACACATATGTATGTGTATGTGTAAATAAGTGTGTGTTTGAAATACAAGACAATGATTTTGTTTTTTAATTACAGAAAGAAATTTCTTGAATTAACAAGGCTAAGCGGATTTCGTGAAAATCGCTCACGTAGAGTGTCTTTGGTATCACACCATATTATACTCGTTGCCCGAAAAAGGAGCTGTTTAGTATTTTGGTCTCCGAAAATCTCTTCTGTAATTAAAAATTACATTAAAATTAAATTTAAAAAAATTCTCTTTATAAAGAGGTTTTCAATAGGGTTGATATGATTTCTAAGTGTCGTTTTGGTCATCATATTTTTACATTTTTTTGATTGTATTCAATTATGTTTACAATTTCATTATGGCAAGTTATACGCAAGAACAATGTTTATAAACAACAACAACAACAACCCCAACAACAACAACAGCTCGAAAATGATAACAATTTTTTAAGAAAATAATCTATCATTTCCTCTTGAGTGGTGCGTTAAATAAACAAAACCGTCGATTCTAGTGCGCAGAAAATCCACACATTATTCATGATCAGAACCCTTACATTCACCTAAATTGACAGTTTGGTGTGGTTTTTGGTCTAGTGGCAGCACCGGTCCGTACTTCTCTCGAAATAAAGCTGGTAGTACCGTTACTGTCAATGTAGAGCGGTATAGATCGATGACAATCAACTTATTATGGCCACAATGCAAAGAAGTTGATCTTAACAACATCTGGTTCCAACAAATGGAGGCTACGTATCGCACAGCACGTGCAACAACCGATTTATTGCGAGAAAGGTTTGGAGATTCGATTGGTTCAAGAAATTGTGACATTGAATTGCCTCCAAGTAGTTGTAATTTAACGCCATTAGATTACTTCTTGTGGAGTTCTTTGAAGTCATTGGTCTCTGGCAATAGACGAGACTCTCTTCTGGCTTTAAAAGTCAATATTGAACGCACTATTCATACGACATACGATTTGATTTAGTGGAAAAAGTGCTCAAAAATTGGGTTAATCGAATTCGTTGCTGCAAAAGAGGTCGTGGAGGCTATCTGAAAGATGTCATATTCAAAAATTAATAGTATCGATTGTACTTCACATTAAATAAAAAGCATTTAAATTTCCTTAACAATTAGTGTGTGTTTTTTTTTAAACTCATATCACTCCTACTGATACTTCGAATCCAACAAACAATTACCTCTACAGTTAATAGATTATTTTTATTTTTTTTTCTAATTTTAAAGCAGTTATTTTTAACCAATCTAAGCAATAAAATTTAATAACAATTCACTTTCTTGCTAAAAAAAAAAAACTTGAATTTTTTTTCAATTATATGGTATTAATCACATTCAACTTAAATTTATAGCCCCTCTTGCTTAAACATTAATTAAGCGAAAAATTAGTTGTTATTGCAGCATATAACAAGCAATTAAATCATTTTAATTTTACCATGTCACTAATTGACTATTTATTTGACCTTTGCTTACCAACACTATAATCTTTCATATCTGCAACAACGTAAACAACTATAATATATGCATAATTAACTTTATGGCGAACTTTTACTTTTGCCACACACTCTCCACTGTTGCACTCACTTTATTGTTTCTCACCACTTGCCTCTAGCTATTCTCTACACATAAATTAACTCAACTCAACTTAACTCAACAAGATAATTTATCTAATTATATTTTCATTTTAGTTTGTTTGTTTTAGTTAATTTCTTGCTTTCGTAATTTAATTATTTTACAAAATTTCCATTATAAATATTTTTTGTTTACCAAAGCGCTAATTAATTTTTGTTTGTTTTTTTTTAATCTCATTTTATTTTCTCTTCCCATTTTTGGTGTGTATATGTATATATGTGTTTTATAATACACACTTTTGTGTATTTGTAACGCGACAAATCATAAAAAACCGCAAAAAAACCACAAAAAACCACCAACCACCAACCAATACCATGACAACTTAACTCAACCCCCAACACAACTATCACCACCAAAACCACCATCGCGATCGCCACCTTCAAACGTCGCCAACGTTCAATTGTTAATTGAAAAACTGAAATCGTGATAAAATAATTTTTTTATGGTGAAATATTCAAATCAAATAAAAAAAATGAAAAAATATAATATATATATAATATAATATGTACATTGAAATATTTGTGGCTGTTTGTGACCAAACAACAACGACTACAACTACTTTTACCTGCATATTAACCCCTTTGCAACTGTGTCTATTGAAAATTACGGTTCATTTGGTATCTCGATTGTGCATATATCGCGTGTAAATCAACAACAGCTCGGATTGTTTAGCTTTAACCCACAGGTTTGTTACTTAAATCTTTCGTTTCATTGCGCTTGTTTGTTTGTATCTTTTGTTTTTTCGCACCAATCAATTGTACGCACTTCACCGCACCAATCACCAGCGCACACTCATTGTCACTTCGAGCGAACTGAACGAACAAAAGCAAGCTATTCGCACTGCTGACAACACCTTTTCCCAAATGCTTTCACAATGACTTTGTAAAAAGTGCAGAAACAATACACAAAACTAATTACTTGCACAATTCACTCATGCATACATACATACATACATATATATATACTCGCATATTTACATATCTTCACTCGTATCGAATTTTGCTCGGTTTATTTTCGTACATAGCTGTACTGAGTACGTGTTATTGTTATTATTTATTTATATCGTTTGTTTACTGTCACATTTCGCTACATTTTTTTTTCTTTGCCACAGCACTCATATGTATGTAGTAGTACACACACTTTTATTCTTTTTAGTGGTTTTCACTGAAGGAGCGGTGCAACTCCTATGGCTTTTGTTTTTGTTTTCGGTAGAGGATTTAATTATTGTGTGTCATCGGATGTTGATTTTAGCACTTCAATAGAGAAAATATTTGCACTCAACCGGCGCTCAATATGTACATTACATACATATGTATATTTTGCATACTTTCATAGTGATTAATGGAACGACGGCTTCGAAAAGGAGAAATGATTTCTTGGAATGAACAAAAGCCAAGCCTTTCTTTGAAAATACTTTAAAGTTTTAACCCAGTTGTAGAGTTGTTTGCTGTATTTTGTTTTGAGTTACAATAAAAAAGTGCTTTCGTTAGTCATTTTTTTTTGGAGAAAACTACAATTAAACTCATATTAATGGAAACTAAGAATCTAATAAAAAATAAACCACTTTTTTCAATTGAATTTAAGACTTTATTTATCATCGTTATAATTGTTCGATTTACATCAAATTTACATCGTTTCGCATGATAACTCTTCGCCATTTTGAAGCTAATGCCATTATGTCTCTCACAGCGAAACCTTTCGCAGACTTCTCCTCAGAACAATTCTTTACCAGCCTGATCATACGCCATAGGCAGAAACTTATAGTACTCACTTGGTGCGAATAAACAGAAAAATAAAAATAGAATAAATTGGATGCATAAGAACCTTCCAACCAAGCACTCAAAACTTCTAGCGAGTCACTATTGCTGTGCGTGTGTCTGGCGTTATCCTAACGAAATACATTTCCCCTACTGTTCGTCAAAACGGTGCACTTCTGGACAATTACTTCCCTCAGTCGTTCCAATTACTGAGAGTATAGGTCCGTATTAAGAGTTTGGCTGTGGGAGAGCAGTTAATAGTTGATGATCATTAGCCAATCTCACCAAACACATAACAAAACCTTCCTGAGCAACAATCTTGCCCTGGAGACCGAAATCGATCGGTATTGTTCATTCGCAGATGGAAATTCTGTCCATGAGGCTTTTTCTCGTTAACTCATGTGATACAAATATATCGAACTGCTTTGTGTGCCTTCTCAATTGGTTATAAACTTTTTTAAGCGGTTTCAAACAGCTTTTTTTTTGGGCAATCGAAATACTCCTTTACATAGCGCTTTTTCTCTTTGCTCCGAGTTAAGGAGTAAACATTTCTCGCATTATTATTCATTTCGCATTGTAAGTTTTCTTCCCAGAGACATTCTAGAGGCATTCTAACCTAATACTTATGTTATCTCTAATAGTTAACTAAGAAATACTTAAATTATAAATATATATTGGACTGTTCGATAACTAATATTGCATCCTTTTGTAATAATGGTAGTAGTAAATGCGTGAATTCCAATATTATGACTTCAAAAAAAAAAAATAGAATAAAAACTGATCGTCGTTAGTAAAAAACAAATTTGTCAAAAACAAGTTGAAAATTTACAAAAAAGGCTAGAATAAGTCACATGTTTTATAATTTTACTTCTACAAGAACAAAAATATGGCGTCTCCAAAAAAAAGGGAGGTTTATAGGGAGAACTGTTTTAGAGGAGTGTTAGTATAACATCCAACTACTACTAAACAAAAATAACTTCTTCTTCTTATTAATAAACTCAAACAAAACAAACTTAGAACAAGTGTGCTCAGAGCGTGAACTACTCACCATATGTTAGGAAATCGTAGTCATTACTGGCCACTCTTAGGTGAATGTCGCTCCAAAAATTTATCCAATCGCTATTGCACTTCTACACATGTCGTATGAAAACCAGAGAGATTGTATTGTAGAATATTATATTGACATAGGGAAGTCAATAAGAATGCTTGACTGCATAAGCAAAGTGTATGTTTAGTCACTCACATACCGGACTATTCCCACTGTTATCGCTAAAGTAAATTTTGTTATTTTTTTTTAACACCCGAAATTTAATTCGGTATTCTGGCGAACTGGTTACAATGTTTGAAAAAACTTTGGCAGCACTGTTTTTTCATACATGTCAAATTACATTTGCCTGTTGGTAAAGTAAAATGAAAAATATTCATATATCTATGAGCATTTCCTTTGCTGTTGGGAGGGATTTTGAAATTTATTGCAACAAATTCCTGATACGACTCATTGGAAAAGAAATATGTTCTACTCCCTTGGTGCCAATTCGTTTATGAGCTCAAAACAAATTGTTTTGTTCAAGCGAAAATACTGAATGACATGCGCCTTCTTGCACATTTTCCTTCATCTGCAATTTATTCTAGACATTTTGGTTTTTAATTTTTTCACAAATTAACAACACATAATTGAACAGCTGATTGTTTGGTACCTCCTATTTCGCTGGTAAAAAAACTCATAGGGTGACATTGAATTCAGAATGTTAACATTTACTGAATGGTAAATTTTAATACCAAAGCAAACTTGGTTACGTCTACAGAATAGGCCTGTTATAGTAAAATCAAGTATACTTCACTCTACGCATTAACCCATTCTGATGCTTTGATATATTGATATCATCTTAACCAATGATGAAAAAATGTTTCTTAATGATAACATAAACAAAAAGTAATAATGAATTAAGTTAAATTAGTTAACAAATCGTTATCCTAGTCAATATGAAGAAAAAAATAATAATTTTTTTTTGTGTGGTGGGATTGCAAGGCGTGATGTTGCATCGTGATAACTTAAGACTCCACAGCTGGAAGATTAACCAAGTTCAATTGGACATCATGGTCACATCCACGCTAAAGTCCGATTTTGACATAATAAATTTACGATTTGTCTCGCTTCCTTTAATTGCATCGCAAAATGAAGGGTCGAATCGAGCGTTTCCTCGAACGTATCGGCAGTCGTACGAAAGAAAATTCCGTGAAAAATTCCATATGAATGGATCGTAATTATTTGAAAATGTAAAAGATTTTATTTTCATCTTTTACAATCTTCTCTTACAATTTTAAATCAGCTGTTCGCAAATATCTCTGAATATTTTGTCAAGTTAAAGCAATTATGGGTGGTGTCTTACTTTTTTTATCTTCCAATGAAAGTGATGTCAATGAACGAATTGTATGGAGGTAAGGGACCAAAGTAACCGATTATATTTATCACGTATAGCGTAAGTAAAATTAAAATTTATCAACAACCTTCTCATATACAAAGCTCTTTTGCAGATTTATGAACACGTTTTGCATGACCAAAAAAGTATTCCTTACTAGGCGGGCCAAGAATATTGAACTTAGGTTTAAACTCCTCCCATAAATTATTAGCAGTTACTTTGTCCTGTGTGCAGTTAGGTGCATGAATTCGCATGCCGTCGCTTGAATTCAGCGATGAACTCCTTTTGTGCCACGTTAATTTTATTTGCATTTGTTCTAAAATAATATTTTTTGTTCATTCAACAATAATTTTCATAATATTTTAAAATAAATTACTAACATTTTAATTGTTTACTTGTTATCGAACACAATTTCGTAATCGAATGACAGCTCTTAATGAAATACTCGTTAACGTATGGCCTTTCCGAATGCATCATAGCGAAGTACGACAACGAGTACATACGTTCACGTATGGCGTAATGTCAAATACTCAAATTTATGTGACGAGTTACCCGTTCACGGAACGCTCGACTCGACCCCAGACTTGGCACAGAATTTGGCCTGTTTAAAGATTAAAAAGATTTTCTTTTCTCAAAACTAAAGCTTTTTATGGTCAATATAAAATTTTTTAACGTTTTTTTTATTAATATAAATAAACTCGCAGTCGCAATTCAAGCACTGGTCCGACGAAGTTCCAAAATTACAGAAAATGAATTTTTCTAATTGCGGTCGCTTGAGAAACATCTCCCCAAGAAAATGGTGGGAAGAGCTTGGCCGCAAATCGCTTCAGCTTATAAAAATAGCTTTGATAAATAAATAAATAAATATATTTAAATTTTCTTGCATTTATTTTTAACGCCCATTAAGTGTTACTGCTAAATAAAATTTTCCATAAAAAATATATTGCAAATATAAATATTTGCACACCATAATTGGTGTGTAGAAATATTCATGTACATATGTAGGTATTTTCCAATAATTATTAGCATTACACTCCCTATATTTATGAGCGCGTAACTACTATTAGTTGTAAGTGCTCTTGCGAAATGCCAATTTAATATGCGGCTTGTCCTAATGCAAAGCCTGTACGAGTAGTGTGCGGGAGTGTCTTACGTAAATGAAAACAAAAAACGAAAAAAAAAATTCTCAATACAAAACATCGATTGTAACATTATGTACATACATACACACATACATATATGTGTACAGATATGAGTATGTATCTTCAATGATTGCTTACGTTGTTTTGGTCTGCTGTTGTAACACGTGAGGTGTCACAGCAACGCTGAGATGATGATGAGAAGATGCTCAAACGGCAGCTGCTGCTGCACGCCATTCACTTTATGTGTCGGCCATAAAATTACGTACATACATACGACCGACCATACGAGATATACCGAGCGAGCTTATTGATACGTGTTTGTTTTTATAAGTCTTTATAGTTGCTAAAACCCAACAACAACAACAACAACTTGATATGTGATGATATGACAAATGCGTTGCGTAACATCAAAGATGTATACATAAATACATATGTATGTGTGTGCTTAAAGATAGATACTCGTATGTATCTATGTATCTACATATGTCAGTTGAGACGATGCTGACGGCTGTTAGACGCTAATGGCAGAACAGCAAACCAAAACAGATTTTTTAGTTGTTTTTCTTCTTTCTATTTCTTGTATGTTAGGTGCGTTTAAATTCACACACAAATATATGTATATACATGTAGAGATATGCTATTAGCCAAAACAAGCAGACTAACTTGTGTATGTACATACCTCACTAGTACGTATTGGCGCTACCCAGAAGAGTTATGAAATAATCACTTACCGATCAGTGAACGTGTAAATGGTAGGCGAAGAGAATGCGAGAATGCGAAAAGCCGCCGCTTACGGCAAATGTGTGTATATACATAGATATGTACATTAGTGCTTGCAAATGTGTAAATTTGTTGTTTTCTAGTTTGGCAATTGCGCAGTGAGGCTTAAAAAGCGTTAGCTGAATTTGTATTGAGCAATGTGTTTTCGCATATTTTTTTTTTGCATTTTTTTTCAACTGAAAAGAGCCAACTAAAGATATATTTAGAGTTAGGATAAAAATGTGAGCGATAGTATGTGCTGGAATCGCCATTTTGTAGCAGGAGTTGTTGTTAAATAACGTGAATAAACATACAACCATACATATGTATTTATTTTTTTACCGCAATACGCCTTCTTCTATTTGCTATTTAGTACAATAAGAATTTTCAATCAATTTTATTACGCAATTTGAGTGTCTAAAATGAAAAGTTGTATAAAAAATATTTATTTTTTAAGTACTTATTACTTATATTTTTTCAAGAAATTAGCATATTTATTTTTAAATTAATTAAACTAAATACTTAAAAACAAAAAAATCTAAATTTGGCAACACAGATATTCAACTTTAATTTTAATTTATCAAGATTTTCATTTTGGTCAAAAACAGCCCAAAAAATGTTTACAAAAAAATCATGTTCCTATGCAATAAACAACCAAAATCAAAAAAAAAAAATTACAGTATATAATTTCGAAATAATAGAGCAAAAAGAATATAAGACAGAAAGCGTAAAAAAAAAATTTCACAAAAAAGTATAAACATTTCTTAATGCAAAACTAATGACATTTGCTAAGCATATTTTCTGTTCTTTTAATTTTTTAATTTTTTTTGTTTGTTTCTGCAATGAAACATGCTGAGCACAGCAATCAGTCACAACTTCAATGTCGCTTAAAACAAAACAAAACAAAAGCGCAGAAGAAAGAAAAGAAATGCTACAATGAGTTTCTAAAAATTTCACTTTTGAACTTGAAACCTTAAACATGTAGCACCTACTGACGGCATTTGAAACGCGCTTTGTTTTTTTTTTTTTTTTTTGCTTTTTGTTTACTTTTTTTTATAATTACATTTAATTATGTGTATTCATTTGTTTCTTATTTCGTGCTTGTCATTGCTTTTGTTTCATTTTCTTATACATAGTTGTTTTGCTTTTACTTTATATGTATGTATGTGTATGTAAATCATATTGTACATGACGGTCATAGCTCGAAGGTTTCAAGTTGCAAATAAACGGCTAGTCGCCAGTGCGGCGGCGTAAGTAATGAAAGAGTTGAGAAATGTGAAAATAACACATTGATAAGTATATACATACCTATATGTATATGTATGTAATTATGTAAAAGTTTATACTTCAAATGGGTGGAAAAAATTGATCTTCAAAAATTTAATAATTAATACACATAATTATATATATATATATATTCACATAAATAGATATATATAAATATAAATATGTATATAATATATTTGAGATTTCCCTAGTGTGGTACACTTTAAATATTTTAATCACTCCAAAGCTGTGCTTTTTTATTTCGTTACTTTGCTCCACCATCAGCTTATTCATTACTCTACCATGCATACATTTTTCTTCGATATTCCTCCATGACATTCCATGCACGTTATGCACACTTTGCTTTATTGCCGTACCCTTTTCCATATAAATTTCATATTACAAGCACTTAAAGCTTCTCATTTGCATTTAATAATTACTAAACATATTTTTCTCTGCTTTTACAGGCCTACAAACGTCAATCGAATTCAGTGAAAATTGCTAAAATCACTGCATTCACCATTATTGTGTCCTCATTCATTTTGGGCGCCTTCGTTTTGGCCTCAGCATATCTACAAGCCAAGGCCTCATGTGATCAGGTGCAGGCTTTGGACTCTGTGCTGGAGAAGGAATTGATGCTGGAGACATTGCAGCAAGTGAACAAAGTAAGTAAAAGATTTGAATTAGGGTTTAAAAATTAGAAAATAGAAAAACTTTAAAAAATTTATATGGCATTTAAACCATTGAATGCCGAAAGCTTGTTAATTTCAGGGCTAGGTCAAAAACTCTCTATATATGTTCCTACGTATTAGAAATATAATCTTTTCATCCTCAAGAACACCAAATGAGTTTCAATAAAAAAAGATTTATATAACATAGAACAATATATATATATACATACATATATATATTTTACTTATTACAATAGTATTTGCTAAAAATAACGAGTAATTAAATTATTAACACCATATGTAACCGTCATAGTCGTAATTTAATATTCAACATCTTTGTGGGGTTTCTTTAATTACCGTTAAATAATTAGAGTATTCTACTTTTAAATATATGTATGTATGCATATGTATGCAGTTTCTGTGGAAGTATTATAATTTAATTTTTTTCATTTTTTTAATGCACGGTGATATATATTGAATAGTGATTTTTCCCATATCATAATATAATTATAGTAAGCTGTTAACTTTTCATAGGAAAAAATGCTAATTATTCATTTAATAACTCAATAGAGAATATTACAAGCGAATTAGCAGGGAAAAAATTTTGCAATTAATTTGCATTTAATTTTAATTAATTGTCATATATTTGAGTATAATATCTTATAGTTTATTTCTGTATTGTATTTCCAATTGTATTTCTGACATGAAATAAAAGTCAGCTTAGAGTTAACTGTGGGTGCCGCCATTTGTTTGAGAAACTCAAGACGCAAACCACAAATTGGACGCACACCGAAAATGGCTTCAGCGGTTACGCAGACTAATTATATGTTTATATTTTATTTGAACACAATTTAATTGCATTCTGATAGAAACTGATAGAAATTGAGAAAAAAAAAATTCTACAATTTATGGATCTCACCAAAACTAATGAAATCGTTAAATTTCCAGAAGCGCGCTAGTAAAATATTTCATAATTTGGCTAATACTTAGTCATTTCAAAAAGAGATATTTCGTAAGAAAGTGAATGCATTCAGATAAATATTTTTTGTATTAGATTTAAAATTTTTCATACGAAATATTTTCTTAGAATGCTTTGTTTCTTTAAGCCAAAACCACTTTCCATAATCTCAAATATTTCTTTTGTACACAGTAAGGTCGGTAACAAGAAAGTTTTTGCTAATAGCAATCGAATTTTTAATGGTGTGAAATGCTGAATAGTCCCTAAAGCACGAAGCATGCCATAAACCTAACCTATTGCACTATAAATGTGGTTATTGCAAAAAAGTTCTATTGAATATTAGAAGTAAACCATTATCGCTGGCCCACTTGCTAAGGTGATCTAAATCAGTACTGTGGTCATTAATGTAATCATTGACGTAGTCAAAGGGGCAACTGGCAAATCATTGAACATCATCTGCATATAAATGAAAGTCACAGTATTTTAACACACTTTGAAGATCGTTAACATATGTATGTATAAAACAAACAACAGAGGCTCAAGAATAGATTCTTGCGGAGCGCCTTAAGTTACGTGGAAATAGTGCGATATAACGTTACCTGGACAAACAGCTTGCGAACGATCACTTAGATATGATTTTATTAAGTATTTAAATGTTAATATTTTTCTATATTAAACTGATGCTTTCAGCTATTTTTGCTGTGATTATAATGAAAATTAATTTAAAGTAGTGTTATTAGAATTTATTATAATTTTAAATTTGCTATTTATTATAATTTTAAATTTGCTATTGTGCTTTTGTGTAAAATTTCCTCACTGACAGAATATTTCCACAATTATTATTTGCCACACAATGACCAGTCATTTCAAAATTAAATGAAAATTCAACTAAATGCATTGAATTACTAATCTATTAAAATACATAGTACAATATATACATATACATATATACATACATACAAATTTTGCATGCGCAAACACAATTTCTTCGCAATTCACCATAGTGAATATGTCACACAGTCGCACACAGCATCGTGAAATGCGCCCACTTAAAATGAAACTGCGCAATATTTATTTAAAAAGCAAAATCCACACACACCAATCAACCAACCAGTAAACGTCAGCAAGCAGCGAGTTAAACTGGAAAGCACATACACACACAAGTAGTTCGCCAACAGTAGATATTAGTGCGAGTGCACCTTCAAATGCCATGCAATGTGCAATGCGCTTTAAGTGGAAAATTAAAAAAAAAAATAATGAAAAAGATGAAAACGAAAGCGAAGTAAATTACAAACAGTTGAATGAAATGGAAAAATTCCCATAATTTCGTGTAAATAACAGTGCAACCGGCACCAGGCACCAGACACCAAACAGCGGCCATACAACTATCAAACAGGTAAATTCCCGCGCGAGCACAATTTGTTAAGTTAGTTAGACCAGTAAGTCAACCAGCCTACTATGTAGTTGGCGAACGTGTACTCGCATATGACAGCCAGTTACGTTGATGGCAGTGATGATGATGTTGCCATTTGGCATCGCAAATGTTGTGCACATCTCTTACAGATCTCAAATGCCCATGCACCGCTTGAATGCGCCATTCTGTGTGTGACAACATTTCCAAATGCATTTACACACACATTTTTAATTCACATGTTTAAAATAAAACAAACATGTTATGTTTTTGCTCTTATTATGGACTCAAAATAACTGAAATGAATGCTGTCAGCAAACTTTGTGGCACGGCACGTTGAAGTGAAAGCAATTCGTAGTGAAATGTTGCAATAATGCAAACGTCAACGAAAATGGATAAAAACCGTAAAACTACGCAATTGCCAATTTGCAATGGAAAAAACATAGTACATAATGGTACGAAAACAAGAGTGTACATATATGTATATATTATATGTAAATAGGTATATACTAGTAATACAAAACTTTATATATATCTAACCAGTTGCCAGCGAGCCTGAAAGCAACAGTTTTTTTTTTTGTTATTATGAAAACATGCAACAGCACAGTGAGCTGCACAGACTAGATACAACAACTTTACATTGCGAATGTCGCAAATTCATGCATACATACATACATGCATACATACATATGCGACATGCCATCGTATATGGAGACGAACGTGTGTGTGGCAAATGTTAAGACGACCAAGAGCCGGTCACAAATGGCAGAGATCAGCGCGATGAGGCCTTAGACGAGTATGCAATCAGTTAGTTGCAATGCACATACTTAAATATGTATGTATATATATGCATAGAGTGCATATGTAATATGTGATAGTACCCTGCAGGGGAGAAATGTAGACCAGTTTGCAAAAATTCTAGTTAAATACTAGTAGTTTGAAGATGAATTCATACTAACTTGTCGACGATCAGAATTCTACTGGTATTTAAAGAACAAAAATATACTAGTTTGTCATAGTTTAGAATTATACTAAAAAACTGAGCTAGTTTCTAAAAATACTAGTATTTGAACTGGTATTTTGGGGACAAATTCATACCAGTTTGTCGGTTTGCAAAAAAAAAACATAAAAAAAGCCAAACTCATTAGTAACTAGAAGCTCCGACCACATATTGTTAGACCTGCTGATATAACAACAACACATTATTGTGATTTTTTCATATTTTGTCCACTTGTAAAAAATGATGAAGAGTCATAACTAAGCTAGCTCGATATCTGATCCACTTTCTGGAAAGAAATAATGCAGCGAATTTCAAGTAAAGTGAACCGCAGGTGAAAGAAGTTTTTCAAAACCATTCTGAAATCACAAAAAAAATCTTTAAAATCGGTTCAACCGTTTGGAGACTAAATCGAATAGGTTTTTGACTAATCTAAGGCGAACTAATTCTCTACTGGTATGAGCAAGCCCGTATTTTAAGTGCCTCATTTAAACCTTCGGTATTTCAACATTGAGGAACTCTGATATTTTTCAGCCGATTTTGACAAATGAGCAAGATTTATTTAGGATATACTTTGTCATTTATTTTGAATCAGTTTTCGAACACAACGTCGATTAATGGATCACCATCATACGATACACAAAAATCAGCTCTTTTTCGCGCATTCTGCAAGTCATTGGCCAGCACTTCAGGCATTATAGCAGCTATTTCGGCTCAAATGTGCATCGTTAGTGTTTGCCTTGCTGGTGTAAACTTTTTAAATAGCCTCGAAGGAAAAAGTCTGATGTAGTTAAATCCAAAGAACGAGGCAGTCACTCCAAATCAACATTTTTCGATACAACGTATCCCGGACACTTACGCTGCAAAGCCTGCATCGTTGCGACTGCGGTGTGGCAAGGTGCGCCGTTTTGTTTAAAACAAAAGTTCTTCAGATCTTTTTCACGCATTTGTGGATACAGAAGTGCGCTCCACACACGTTTAACTCCTGAGATATGCGACGTTATGACCCATGTGGATTATCGACAACACTGTCTCTGACCACTTAAATAGCTACACCGGAGCATTTCGGACGTGGTCGAATGGGACGCTGGCGGGTTGCTACAGAGCCATACTCGAAGAAATTGTTCATTAAAACCGACAAAATTATTCAATGTTGAAATACCGAAGGTCTTTTTGGCGCACACTGTACGAACTGGTATTTAACTAGTATGAAGCTGATGCATGACTGATATTTGACAGTTGGTAGGACATAGCCGTGCTTATATGGAAAATAGTTGAACTAGTGGGATTCTAGTCTTTTTCCCAGCAGTGTCATGATGCTTGTTTGTACATACGTACATACATATGTACATACATACATACATATGTACAGCGCCTAGTGCGCCGTAGTGCATGGTACAGTAGCAGGCCTATTTTGTAAAGCTGCCAAACAACTCGCAACTAATAATAGCTGTTGAAAAGCAAAATCACATAGTAAGTTTTCACATATACATACATATAACAAGTACATATGTGAATATAAGCTTATATGTATGTGATATATGCAACAAATAGCGTATAGAAATGTGTGTAATAGCAAGCTACAACATAATATGCTGACATATACATATGTATGTTGATGTATGCAT